CGAATTACACCTCTCTTCGCCGAATCTTCGACTCGGTAATCTCATCCTGTGTTTCTCATCGCGAAGCCAGGAGAAGGACGGCAAGGCCTGCGTTCTCAAGGCGATCTGCAAAGCAGCCAGGCGTAAACGCGAAGACATAGGGAGAGGGAGCTTTATCGAGGAGATCCTGCACGCTACATTCACGTAAAGAAATGTCTCATTAATATTAATAATTGAATTGAATTCTTTAATATTTATATTAATATTATTAATTGAATTAAATTCCTTATTTCAAAATAAAAAAAAAATATATCTCGGATGTTAATGTCAGATAGAAAGATGACGGGTTTAATGATTGCAGTTTGCCTGGAGGACACTACGACATCGATCCGATGACCGAATACGAACGAACTTACCACTTGGATGAGAATTGCGACGAAATGCACGCCAAGTGTCCAGATGTCTTCTAAAGTGCTGCAATCAGCGCGATCATCTCTTACACAATCACGAAACGAGCAGCTATCACGCAGAATTCTCTCTCTCTTCTATCTTTTCTTCGTTGTAATCAGATTAACGAAGTGCTCGAACTGTATATAACACCAAAGATTATCAGATTTAGATTAAGATTTTCAGGAAACTTGGAATTCATAGATAGATGGAATAATAGATGTTATTAATTGTGCTTATTTTAAGTTTTGACATTAATTGCAATATAAATATTGCACCTTTTAAATTAAAACAATCATCTCTTGTATTGAAATTATTTACTATTTAATTGTTTGAAACATTTAAATAGAATTAGTTGTACCATGTATAATATATCATAATAAAAAATTTACTATATTTATATACAATATATATCTCACATTTGTTGTGTCTACTTTATATATATATACATAGCAGAGCTTCATATATTCTAAAATGCATTTTAAAGGTATATGGATCGTCGTAGTGAGTTTCGCGTGACATACGTCATGAGTTAGTTTAAACGTAAACCCACCTCCTTTTCTGTGCAGCGTGCAAAGTAAGATTTGCACAAAGCACTCTTTGAGCTTGGAAGATCGTATCACTCTGGATAGTTATTGCGCGGTTTTTTAATCGTAAAAAAAGACGAAATATCGTGTCACAAAAGCGAATAATAGTAACCATCAGTATGTGATGAGATCGACAACAATGTTGACAACAATGACGTCAGCAATTCAAATTATGCAGTAAATGTCGTTCTTGGAATTTCCTTGCAACTACGAAATTGCTCGGATTACAACAGAACTTTCAAAGACCCGATCTCTCGTAGTGAGAGAGAAAGAGAGAGAGAGAGAGAGAGAGAGTCTTTCGACAAAGTATAAATTATACAGTGTATCTTGCATTAAAGTCTATTCACTTTTTAATAATTGCGAATAATTTAACGCAATTCTATAATTATTCTCGGAAAGACTGTTCTTTTCCACCGATGCAACAGATAATAAAATCTTATTCTTCGATTAATTTGACGTACGTCTTCAAAAGAGCTTTATGATAAAAATTAATTGAAAAGAAATCACTCTCTCGAAATGTCTCGGAAACACCGGATGTCCTTTTAATCGCAGCTTCTTTGAATAATTTGAAAAGAACATTTCTCTTTTTAGCAAGATATTAATGCTTCCATATATATCTTCATGCGATCAAAAGACGCGCGAGAAGTTTTCGGATAAATTCCATCGCGATGTCAACTCCAATATTGCGAGAGAAATAGCTTCGGAGATCGTGTGATTTGCGCGCGAATCGACGACGACTCCGCTCTAATTATATGTGATGTAAACTCGACTACCGGCTGACGTTCTCAGGAGGGGAATTGTATTACGTTAGCTTACCATCACTGTACGTGCAAACAGAGCGTAATTTCGCACACGCGACATGCAACATGCGATGCATTACGATGTCTTAGAATATGCGGATATGTCAGCAAGAGAAAGAGAGAGAGAGAGAGAGAGAAATGCGGTGTATATTATTCTATACACGACCTATTATTGCAAGCTAAACAGATGAACCTGCGTCCGCCGGTTTCCTTAATAGCGACCAGAATGTTCGTGGAAAATGGACTTTGGGGTAACATTGCGTTACGTCGAGGAAATGGTCGACCCGCAACCGGATAAGCGTGTTGCAACTATGGGGCGTGTTTCGTAAAATAGATCTAATAGATGTTCCAAGTATTCACCGTAATGGAGAATCGAGAGTCTTGAAAGTACATTACGAAATATCGATAGAGAAATTACCGCGCTGATTACGGTGGCAATTTTTTTTCTTGCATATATATAGCAATTGCGCGCGATTAACTAAAGATTCCGAAGAATCGTTCTCTCGAAAGCGAGAGAAAAAATCGCTCGATTTTAAGTGTTAGATAAATCACGCGGTTCTCCCGGTAAGGGTGGCGGAATGGAACTGGCAGTGTCGTCGAGAAAGAGAAATAAAGAATGGGCTTAAGTAGGGAGAAAGAAGAGGGGGAAAAGAAAGGGGAATCAAGGAGATCCGAAAGCCCAAAATGAAATTACCTCGCAGATGGAAGCTGCGAAGGTGGTCAGAAAGCACTCGGATCCTCGGGATTGGATAAAACAGGCAGCCCTGTTCCTGAATATATTTTGCGAGATTTACGAAATTTAAGGGCTCTCGCGGCGGATAGAAGACTGCGGCGAGAAGGGAAGGAGAGGAAAAACGGAGAGCCGATGAAGCTCTCATAAAGAACCGGTCGAGCTTTCGGTGAGATTTTTCAAGATTAGCATGGAAAAGCCAGAGGACTCCGCAATATGGGGGACAGCTTGTCAGACTTTAATGGCCTACGAGAGACCCGAGAGAATTAATGAGCTCTCTCGGTCGAGCTCATTGAATACGAAAAAACGCATAGAAATCAGCGCCAATTTGGCGATTCAATAAGTAAATAAATCGCGAAAAAGTTTGCAAAGATTATAAAAACGTAATTGCTATGTTATTTTCTGTATTAGGTTTATTTTTAATTTTAACTTTTCTATCTTTTATATGTTTTTCTTTTTTCTTTTTACATTAACTGTCTTATTTCAAATTTAGAAGATATTCTCATTTATATTGAAATTTTCACGTATATCAGCGTTGCATGTGCTGAAATATTAAAACTTGACAAAAACTAAAATTTATTCTGTCTTGCCACTGGAAAGGTATCTTGGCGCGACATAAAATATACCAGAGAACGAACGTATGTGCGAGTCCATGTACGAGATAGGACCGCATACTTTATCACAACCGCAGAAGCAGTCCCTTACATGAAATTTCGTACATATGACTGAAATGTACAAAAAATTTAACACTCGATTAATATATTACGTTTGAAGGGATAATTTTTCGTCCGCGAGATAATTGCAACGGAAATAATTGCAGTTGTTTTAATCTCGTAATAATATATCTACGTCGAACAAAGCCGCAATAAGACGGCTATGAATGTATGTTTAAATCGTCCGAGCAATTAGATTGTCTCTCGTCGTTCCAAGCCAGATGCGTGATAATTCGCGGTGCAAACAGCGAGCGCGGAGACGCTTTCCTATATCGTCGTCCCAACGGCGGGCGAGTCGTTTCTCGTACGCGCAAAATGCAAGTGTAATATGTCGACGTAACCGCGAAGGATGTTTCCGGGTTTTCTGAAAATGCTCTCCATCCCGTGAGCCTCCCGGGAGATCTCCGAGCAACGGAAGGTGGACCGATTTTGCACGCCCGCCCGCTCGTCCGGTAATTCCGAGAAATGAGAGCCCCGTGGCTCGTCCTGATCCTCGCCGAGATCCCGGACTCGTTGTCGCTCCTGCGGGAGGCGGTGTGTCATCGTAATGACGCCGACTTAAGTGCCGCCGGTCAAAGGTCAGGGGAGACTTTACCCAGACGTAGACGGGAGCTCGCTTTTCCGAAGGGGAGTGCCTTCGTGGTGAGTCAGACGGTCAGCGAAGGGTCCGTCTTTCGTTACTTTTATGAGAGCGTCACACACTACTCGTTCCACCAAGATCGAAAGAGATCGATAGGAATCAGTTAGATGGGCGTTTTCTCATTTTACGCGATAACAGCGCTTTTACGAGCAACCGAAGATGAGCACGTTTTATACTATAAACCGAAAAATATTATTGAATTAAGTTTATCAGCAGTACGTGCAAACTACGAAACACGTATTTCCTCGCTTCTGTCAAGAATTACATTTTATTCATCGAAATTGTAACAAACATAAAAGTATTTCATTTAGTTTGATCTACAAATGTATATATCAATTTAAAATAAGAAAATTTTTATTAACTTCTTTTATTTTAATTCAATTATATAATCTTGGATTGGAAAAAATTAAAATAATTTTATTATTCAAGCAGTGATTTTATGTACGTGGAATTGCTCATTTAGATAACCCTAACCTTGCTTAAGGCTATCCAGATTACGGAGCCTAGCAATTGGAATCTCGATCTGGAATTTGATATGATATGGCCTATACCTAGTCGGGAAGATTTGAGGAAAGCTATGATCAAAAGACCGTCCAAGCTAAAACGACGACATAGACGCGAACTTTATGCCAATCTTGAATTGGCATTGAACAGGTAAAAAAGAAAATTAAATGGCTAAGCAAAATATTTGGATAATACATAAAAAATATCAAAATATAAATGATTTTAAGTATTTGAGGCAAATTATACTAACGTAAAAAGAAATATTTTTTGTTAATATAAATTAATTTATGATTTTGAAATATATTAAAACATACGTTATATTCAAGAATATAAGAGGAAGGAAATTAGCTATAATTTTTCGATAAATGTTAAAATATTCATTTTATCGAATGTGCATTAAATATCTCAAACATATGTTTTCTATCAAATATAACTATAACTGATGTCATCCAGAAAATTTTATTCATTAGTTTTAGCTATAGATTGGATTTAATTGGATTTAATAAACATTTATCGTTATCTATTTTAGTCAAAACTTGCCTGGACGATTATGTATTCTTCGTGCGATTTGCGAGACGGAAACAGTGTTAAGTCCTCCGGGATTTTCAATTATCGAAGATGCCATACGAATTATTTTAAGGTAAGCGTATTTCCAACACTTTTATTGCGGTAAATTAATACTTTCTACGAAAATTTTAATATATAATAATATATATTATATTGTTTTTATAAAAATTATTGTAATATGATGATATTTCGAATTAAAAACTTAAGAATATATATTTTAGAAATTTCGAGGATGCTAATGATCATGACTGTTATGATATTGCATATCGAACAAAAAATGATTGCGAAGTTGTCTATCCTTGTCCATTTTCACTACTGAAATTATTGTTATATAATTTATATACAGAAAATAAATGACTGTGTCGGTTTAAAAGACAGACTAATAAAAAAATTTAAATCTAAGCAATCTATAATGTAATTTATTAAAAAATTTTATATTTATTAGCATGTTTTCTAGGCGGAAAAATCTGTGATATTTTCAACATTATTTTTTCCAATAAATATACGTCTAAAATATATATTTTGAAAGATATTAATAATATATAAAAATAAAAAAGAAATAAAATTACAAACAATGAGCAATTCAAGCATTTTTTTTTATTTTGATTTGATATCTTCCGAAATTATTATCAGATCATTGTTTAATTGTATAATTTTCATTGTAAATAAA